TGCCATGACGTAGAGACATGGTCCCCCAGCACTACCTTCTGGAATCGACCATCAAGATAGGAGTGGAACCACTGCAAAGCAGTGCCTCCAACCCCCAATCCCGCAAGTCTATCCAGAAGGATACCATGGTCGATGGTATCAAAAGCCGCCGAGAGGTCCAGAAGAACCAACAGGGATGTACTCCCCCTGTCCTTCTCCCTGCACAGGTCGTCGTACAGAGCGACCAAGGCAGAATAGCTGCACAATGCCTTTTGACTGTCCTAAAAGCTCTCTATCTGAAAGCATCTGGGAGGCAAAATTCTCCTTCCCCACACCCTCCAGCATTTAAGAGGCTGGAATGTGTTAAAGAGCAACAGCACTGAGATGCCCAGTAGCAGGCTGGGTAACTTGTGGCCTTCTGTTTTGGCCTACAACTCCCATCATCCCTCACTGTTAGCACAGTGGAAGAGAGGTAACTGCCTTACACTGAGTCCAAGCATTTGTCCATCTGGACTGGTATTGCTTGACATTGGCTGGCAGTGACTCTTCAGGGCTTCAGGTGTTTTCTAGTCCTGCATAGACATGCCAGGGATGAAGCTTGAAGCTCTGCGTGCAAAGCAGCTACTCCAGCACTGAACTAGAGTCCTTCCACCATTGACTATGTTGTCTAGAGCTGATGGGAGTGGTAGGCTAAAACATGAAGGGTCACAGGTTCTCAACTCCTCCCCTACAAATAACATTGTTATTTTACTTTCCTAGCTACCCGATGAGGGAGCAGAGTGCAGTAACTGAGCACTTCCCAGTTAGTCTCCCAGCTAGTTCTAGCTAAGCTTCACACTTCTTGAGCTTCAAGAACAGATCTGTGCTAGGAACCTTCACAGCATTTCCAGATTCAATCTGAATGATCAATCATGCAATATTCTGCATTACAAAAGCCTGCCCCTTTACCAAATCAAGACCTAATCCTGGCCAGTTTGAACTCATTTGAAGTAGACCCAGAAGGCTGCTCTTGAACATTTGTCAGGCTTGGAGTCAAGCTACACATACCACTAAATCTTGGGAAGCATGTTTGGAGTTTTAATTAATGCTGAGTAGGAAATGCCTACTCCTTCCGACCACAGTGCACAGGGAGGAGAAGCTTAATTTCATTCCCAGCCATGATCCTGACCACTCACATTGCTATCTCCCAAAAGCAGTATGGCCAGCTGAATGTGGGGCAATTTTCATCAGGATCCCAGCTGGGAAGGAAACAAACTTCTTCCTGTGCATTTTAGTATGGATAAAAATTCTGAGTGCAATTAAAAGAGTTAAACTCCAACACGTTTCCCAGTGATACTTTTAGTATCACATCTAGTTTGGCCCTCTCCTCCACATCACTCAGAGAATTTGAGGATGGTAAACCCAAACGGTTGTATTGAACATCAAAGCCTTGAGTTTTGAAAATATTGTTCCCCAACTTGGTACCCTCCAGATGTTCCAGGCTACAACTCCCATCATCCCCAGCATTCCTGATCATCAGTCATGCCAGAGAGAGCTGGTGAGGTTTGAGGCACAAAATATCTGGGGGAAGGCCGAACAGTTGCACACTGTCTTCTAACTCTTGCCTGAAGGATCCCTCCAGCTGGAAGCACTCTGGCTCTTATAAAACACTTCTCCCCTGGCTTCTCTTTCCACACATCATCTAGCTGACTTTCTTATCAGTACAAAATTGTTTATTGTTGTAAGCTGCCCCGAGGCTTCGGCGAATGTTTAATAAATAAATAAATAAAAATCTTGCGTCATGTCCCACTCCCCACTCCCTCAGCCCCTGCCTCACACAGGATTATCTCCTCTTTCCCCTCTTACTTGGTCCTCGCCCTCGTTTTCATGTCCATTCCTGTGCAGCTCAATATAATGTAGGTTTACTTAGAAGTCCTTCCAGGCTCTGCTGAGCATGTTGCCAAGTGTGCAAGGTGCACACAGGAGCATTGTGGCCTTGTGCACTACAAACTGTTTGCGGTACAGTTGGCCCTGGCTTATACTAATTAATCTGTAGAGGATACCTAGGAGGAAATGAGGTTGAACTGTTCCCCTTCAGGTCTCATAAATATATTTTGATATCCCCTTCACTACGTCTGTCTTTTGAGGGGCATCCTCCATATATGCTGTCTTCACCATCCTTTTCTACTTGTTGCTCACCCTTGTGTAATGCCTTTGCTTCCAACTTTCATCTCTTCACTTTCACCTGTGCTTCCCACCCATCCCGTGGTGCGTTAAGTCCATTCATGTGTATTATTTCAGTTGCAAAGTACTGTAATTAAGTGACATTTCTCTCCCTACAACTTTCCATTGCCATCCCATGCCTTACACCTAGATTGCTGATGCGGTATGTTAAAGCAAAATAAAAATGTAACAGAAATACTCCCTAACCCTGATGAAAAAACAAAACACTCAGAGCAGGTGCAGCTCCGCATTTTAAATTCACGTAAGGCAGAACACGATCCTGACGAGAGGACGAGACTGGAATGCGCTTCCGCAGCTGCCGCTGTGTGGGGGGCTCTAGCTGCGCCCATTCCCACGGGCTGAACCGCCCCCTCACCTGCTTGCGCAGCTCGGCCAAGGGCCGCTCGCAGGCTTCCCAGTCTTTCTGGCCGCCTGCCCCAGCCCTGCGAGCACGGATGGCTGCGATCTCCTCCTCCAGGGCTCGGTTGGCCGCCTCGAGTCCCCGCACCCGCTGCAGGTAGCCGGCCAGGCGCTCGTTCAGGCCTTGCAGCGCCTCCTGCTGCCGGCCCGGGCCCAGCAAAATGGTGGCCGTCTCTGCGCTGGCTCGCGCTGCCGGGAGCGCCGCATGCAGCCGGGACAACGAGAACCAGGAGTCTGACCCACTGGAGCTGCCGCGCACGGAGCCGGTGGACAGGGAGCCGCTGCGGGGCCGGGAAAAGGAGAACGCCATCGCGCCACCGGGCCCGCTCGCTCCCTCCGCCCTCTTATAGCCACCTGGCTCCTCGTTTGCATGCCCAGGTAGCCGACAGCCAATAGGGAAGTTCCTGGGCTCCCCATTGGTGGCATCGCGACCTCGCATTCTCCATATTTGTATGCGGGGCGAGAGGGCGGCCAATGAGAGAGCGCCCGCGTTGGCACGCGCCTCCTCTCTTGGCCCGGGGGGAGATTCTGCCCGCCAAACTTGAGCTGAGCTCAGCCCAGCTTCCAAGTCGTTGACTTGAGCCCCGGCAGGCCGGGTTTCAGGGACGAGGAGGGCGCTCGCCCCACCAGGGTCCGTGCACACATACAGCAGCTGTAGCAAGCAAGCAAGTGGCCGCCGAGTAGGCGGCGCCCTCGACCCTCGCTCTGGGCCTGAACGGTGTAATAATTTCACATCACCGACCGCCTCCACATTGCCTCTGCCGAGGGAACACTGAGGAGCGGAGCACAGCACAACTGGGGCGAGCCAGAAGGCGCTTGTTCACGCACGGAGCTGTCCGCTGGGCACGGGCGTGGCGGCAGGGGCGGGCTATGCTAATACGGTAGTAAGGTGGGGTACACGTGCACCGGAAAATTTGCCGTGGCGGCTCCACGTCAGGTGAACACGTCGGGGTGGGGGAATCGAATACCAATCAGGTGCCTGCTCGGGGTGGGGGGCGGAGACCTCCAAATCTTCCCCGCCGGTATTAAGCCCAGGCGATGCCTCGAGCGCCTGTTTCCTTCTCCCCACTTTGGCTTTGGAGATCCGGCACCCTTTAGACCATGAACCTCAGTCACCATCTCACCGCGAGCTTCAGCACCCGCTCGCACGGCTCCCTCCCCGCTCGATCCTCTACGTACCGGGCCAGCCTGGGAGGCTTCCAGCCGGCGCTCTTCCGAGCGTCTTCCGGCGCTTCCCTTTCTCCCTCGCCCGCTTTCCTCCTCTCCTCGCTGCCCAGTTTGGAGATCGACCCGAAGTTGCACCAGATCCGCACGGAGGAGAAGGAGCAGATTAAGGGGCTCAACAACCAGTTCGCCTCCTTCATCAACAAGGTGCAGCCTCGGATGCCCCGTGGGCAGAACATTTTCTCGGGTGCGCGCGTGTGCGTGAGAGGGGGGGATCTGTGTGTCACCTGCTCCACCGGCCAGCCTTCCCCAGCCCTGCGCCCTTCAGACGCGATGGGCTCCGAAGAGTGACATCGCCAGCCAGCAGGACGAAGGGGAAGATGGGGACTGTAACCCAGCAGGTCTCAGGGCATCAGCTTGGGGAAGGCTGGCATAAGCAGTGCTTGCCTTGATACTCCCGAGGGAGAGGGAAGCATTGATACAGGTTTTAGCCGGTAGGTTCATGTGTTTGCAGTTACGGATCTCTCTCGTAAATGCCTGCGTTGTTGATGTAGTTAGTAGCGCTGTTAGTATTGCTACGTACTAGTCCCCAAACCAGTGAGGCACGGCTTAATGGGTTAATATTGATAGTGAGTTATGATGCTCTACTGGAGTGCCAGGCAAAATCCCAAACACACAAAGGGTGTTTTTCACGCACACACCCAATGCATCTAATATTGGAGACAAACTATTGCTAATAAACATCTCTCTGCTGCTTTATAGCAAAGGAATACATCTAGGTAACTTGCGAAAATCGTCAAAGCAATAGATCACTAAATTGCAACATCAGTAAAAGCAGCTGGTTAAAAAGAAAGAGAAAGGAAGCAATAAAATCAATACAGCCATGGAGCACAATAAAAACAGGACCCAGCAGAAAAGGCAGTTTTATTTATTTTCAAGATTAATTAGTCACACTGTAGCTAATAACACTCAGAATGATGTGTGAAACACGCAAATAAATTTTGGAATCCAAATAATTAGACTCAAATGCAGCATAAAGCTATCAATTAACGGTAGCAATCAAGTAAAAAGAGAAAAGGTTTAAACTCTCAAATAATAACCAGTATTTGGGCCAACCAAAATATCACAGAATCCAGTGCAAACTTCCAAATGTTCCAGAACTAGCTCAGTGGTGGGGATCCTCTTTCTTCCTGAGGGCCAAATTTGATTTTGAAGGTGCTCTTTGGGTTGCAGTCAGTGGGAGAAGTGGGTGCAGCCAAATGTTAAATTACCTGCACATTGAAGCTGAAAGCTCATCTTGCCAGTAATTGAGCCTTAAGAGAGGCATTTCAAGCCTTTACAATTGGGAAGAAACCTGGCCCAAAACTGAGAAAGCACAATGCATTGTGTGGTAGGGGAAAGGAGCATGGTCAGGGGAAGGGGATGACCTCAGGCAGGCTAAAATTGGCCCACCAGCCCAAGGTTCTCCATCCTTGCGCTGCATGATAAATATGTGAAGAAGAAATTAAAGCTAGCTGATAATTAATGACTGAGTATTTGCATTTGGTCAGAGTCTTAAGATGGAATGTGGGAGGAGGTTGCAGACACTGGGCTCCGACCAGAGAAACATATGATAGTTGATCCCCCATTTCTGAAGCTGTAAAATGTAGCCGCTGTGCGGAGCTGTCTCAAATCTTAGGCAAAATGCACACAAGTTTCTTAATAGATGGAAAGCAGAAATAGAAAGAAACTAAACAGTTTTTATATCAACAAAGCAAAGGATTATTTTAGGTGGTGCACTAGGTAAATAAAAGCCAGAGGAAGCCAGATTGGGAAGTTTTACCTGGCAAACAGAGGGAAGGGCTGTGGCTCAGTGGCAGAGCACTTGCTTTGCATGGTAAGGTCCAACTCCTGTTACCTCCAGAGAGAGCTGGAGTAAATTCCTGCCTGAATTCTTGAGCTGTTGCTGCCATGCGGTGTAGACAAGACTGGGTGATTTGGCAGGAAGCTTTTTCCTACGTTGCCATGGATCGCTTCTCAGATCTTCCACATACATTTCATAAACAGATTCTAGGAACTGACTCTGGGACCTTCCGTGGAGCAGGTTTGTGCTATGCTCATGTATAGGGGATGGGAATAGATGCACACCTGGACTCGCTTACCACTCAGTATTTCCCGCTAACACATTTTCATTCACAATCAGAATGGATAACGTCTAGATGGACAGTTGCTCCCGCTCATATTGCATCATGGGAGAAGTAGGGCACGTGGGGTGCTTGGCTCTTCCACGTTCATGGCCAGCAACTCTCTCGCCGAGCATCCTCTACATGCACTGGCCAAGCAGTTGCCTGTGGGGACAGGACCACAGTAGCACCCTCCCACCCAGGCTTCCTATCAACTGGTACATGCAGGTGTCATGCCTCTGGTACTGGATGTCATGCAGAGCAACCGTGTCCAGTAGCCTTTGACAGCGTTATCCTCCATGATCTTTCATTCAAACAGCCAGGGCGGTATAGAGGTTAGAGTGCTGGACTAGGACTCAGGAGATGTGGGTTCTAGTCCCTGTTTGGCTGCAAAGCTCACTAGGTGACTTTGGGCCAGTCACTGACTCTCCGCCCAACCTATGTTGCAGGTTTGTTGTTGTGAGGATAAAATGGAGAGGGGGAGAACCTTCAAGACACCTTGAGTTCCCTGCAAGAAGAAGAAAAGCGGGACATAAATGTATAGTGGTGTCTCATATTTCAACTGAGTCTAACTTCAAACAATCCAGATGTTAGAGTCAAAAGAAAATCACTGTGAAGTTCGAATGATGCTTCTATGTTCGAACTGCCAGTGAAGTGAAAAAAATGTGGACGCAGGGTAAATGTTATCGGTCGTCTCGTGTTGTCAGTACATGCGTTTTTGGTGCCTTTTTTCATTTTATTTTTCAGTTATGTATGAGGTGTGGTCAAAGACTATGATGAATGTTGAAATTTAAAAAAATACAGTAAAAGACACATTGCCATTAATCCCCCTCAAAGCAAGGGGTACCCTTGCTTATCCCATTGTTACACACTTAACATTGTTACACACATATCCCATTGTTCTTGCCACTTTCTGAAGCAGCTCTGGAAGTCCTCTTTCGTGTCTTTAGTTGCATGGCTGTGGCTGCCTCAATGTCCTAAATCAAGTCACATGTTTTCATGGCCATATTGACTTTGGGAATGAGCCGGGAGTCACACGGTGCCAGATCTGGTGAATAAGGTGGATGAAGACACACCATAATGTTTTTATTTGACAGGAATTGCTGTACCAGAAGTGACATGTGTCTTGAATTGATTAGGACATCAAGGAAGCCATGACAGCACAACTAAAGAAAGTGGCAAGAACAATGGGATAAGTGTGTTTGAAGCAAGGGGGGAGTATTTTGAGGGGGGTTAATGGCGATGTGTCTTTTACTGTAATATTTTTTTTATTTCAACATTCACCGTAGTTTTTAATCACACCTCATATATAACCACTCCTCACTAAGGTACAGTAAATGCATTGACATAATGTTACTACTTTGAACTTAGTTTCAGGAG